GATGGGGGGGCTTTCCCTTGGACAGGAGCAATATGGTCCGTGCCCATAAAGGCCGAGAGCTGCAGGACTGCCTCGGTATCTCCACACTGGCGCGAAAAGGCTCACCACATGCAAGGGTGGGACCTCCCTGTGGCTAACAAACGGGCTCACCACATGCAAGGGTGTCCCGGTAAAAGCTGCTGGGGGAGAAGTATTTTAGCAGGGGAAATAGGAAGCAGCATCTGTGTGGTGACAGCAGCCCTGTGGAGTTCCATGACCTCCCGTGACCTTCCCGGGCAGATTCTTCGGACACAGCAGAGGGAACAGAGCTCTGCCCCAGCATTGCTGCCTCACGGGTACTTTGAGCAATGCATAAGCGAGGCGCAAGCCAGAAAACACATGGCTTGTCAATAAAAAGCGCAAAAACCTCATCTTCCTTCCTCTGCTGGAAGAAGTTTGTTCCTTCCTGTGTTATTCCCCTGCTCAAGCTCATCGCCTTGCAAGGCACAAGACACAAATTACAGTTTGACAGTGTTTAGAGGCTGTTGATCAAAACCAAGTCCGAGTCGCTCCCACAGCCTGTCGCTTTGCAGCTTGCCAGGTAGCAAGAGCAGTTTGGGAAGCAGCTGCACCAGGGGTGCGAGTCCTGTGCTCCCCCCGAGCTTCGTAGCCAGGGTGTTACCTGAAAATAAAGCTCCCGAAACAAAAAATGTTTTAGAAAGGAGATATTGCTTTATTCAGCGTTGGGTGCAAGGTGGAAGAATTCCACAAATCAAGCACACCAAGCTCGGATTCTATTCCCTTATTTATACACTGAGTATACAATTTCCACACCTATCTAATACATAATTATTAACCTGTCTTTGCGCGCACATCTTCATTAGTTAACAGCTTACCCGTCTAGTCTTTAAAGCTATAGCGTCTTTTTAATTCACTGCACTTGCAGAGGAGTCAGGGGGTACTCGCTTCAGTCCTTAATTGGGTTTGTGGTCACAATCTCCCCCTGCCCGAGTTACTTTTACCCGGTTTCTCCTATCTTGCACATGTCCGTTTGTTTTACTTTCTCCTTATCTTTGAAGGTCAGCTACCAGCTGCTTGGCCATCCCCTCTTCCTCCTTACATTTTATCAGTATAGCAAGAGATGCATTACTTCACTACTACTTAAGGACAATATTTCATTAGTATAGCAAGATCTACGACTTAAGGGCAACAAGGGTACTTGCCCCAGCACACGTCCCTGGGGAAGTGGGAGCAGGGAACCTCAGGCACATGGGCTTTCTGATGGAGAGGAGGGAATAGCTCCAAGGAAAGATGGAGATACTCCCCAAATCCTGCACTCCTCCCCAGACAAGCAGGAGCAGAAAGCTGGGTGCACCCCTAGTTCATGGTGCAGGGAGTAAAGCATGTGACTCCAGCCAGCCGGCCCCTAGATAATTCCCCTCCCTTGCATTACACCTGCCACTCACATAACACTCAGGTTCCCACCAGATCATGGCCAAAACTATTTCTTACGGGAGTTATTTAAACTCAATCATTGCACAGCTTCCTTAAAAAAAAACCCAGGTGGCAACAAGCACACCTCAGCCCCAGCACAGGCTCTTCTACCTGCACAGGACTCTGCTCTTTTCACCCCAGGCTTCAACCAGCCAGGAGCCAAACAAAGCCCAAAGAGCAGGAGAGAGAAGGCTCCGCTCCCCTCTGCTCCGCTCCCCCACACCAGAGCACGCCCAGCCAGCCCCGGCCCGGCTGCCCCAGGGACTCGTAGCCCTGCGGCTCTGCCTCGTTTGCTCTCCTGCTGCCGGGGGGCAGGAAAGCAGGGTGAGCAGCAGCACCCCATCTCCTTAGTGAGAGCTCTGTGCTTGGCTGCTTTCCTGGTCTCACCTTCCTTAAAATCTCAATGTGGCAGCAGTAGAAGAAAAGCTCCTTCCTGCTTAGATCATTGGATCTGCTCATCTCTCCTTATGTGCTAATTGGGGGCTGCAGGCTACAGTAATTCATTAATGAGCCAGGCAGCGGGGCCTCTCCTGGCTCTGTCCTGCTGGGGTTTGTCCCTCTCCCCAGCTTCACACGGGCTCTGCATTTGCCCAGGAACCACTTTTCTCTCCTGTAAGGCTCAGGTGCTGCTTCTGATTCTCTGCCTTCCCACCCTGGCCAAGGGAAGACTTTTCGCTGCTGCTGAGCACCCCTGAGTATCAGCAAATTGTGTTACAGAGTATATAGGTATTCCAGAAGTCATTGCCTTTACACCTGAATGGGTTACAGGGGGTTCAGTACATGAAATATATGCGCGATGGAGGGAAGGTGGAGAAGGGAGCAGGGCTATGTCGGACAAAGTGGACATCAGGGAGCACCCAGCTTGGCTGTGCCCGATTCCCTCACCCATGAGGTTCACTGCTGGGTGCACACAACAGCACTAGAAACTGGCCTTGGCTCTGAAAATGAATTTCCAAAATACTCCTGCAACCATCCCTCTCCCACTGTCCCTCCTCACTCAGGCTCTGCCTTGCAGGTCCCCAAAATAAGCAGCTCAGGGCTGGGATCTGCCTGGAGGAGATGGTGGTGGGGAAGCAGCTCTTGCTGCTTCCAGAAGAATCACCGCTCCCTTTCAAGAAGGGGTGAGTTACAGGAAGGCTCGTGCAGCAGGATAGGACAACTTCGCTTTCAGCTGATTCCCACAGCCACAGCTTAGAAATCATGATTTTGGGGCAGAGCTGGTTGCACAGTGTAAATCAGCACCCCTGCCCCTGAAACCAGCCCGGCTGCGCGGAGCTACAGCACCCGAATTCTCGTGGCAAGGGAAAACTTGCCTCTCCAGGCAAAACCACTTGCATGGGACCATGTGCGTGGAAGAGCTCAGGTTTTCTGCTCCCAGCTCTGTTTCCATCAGGAGTCTGCCCTTCCAACGCCAAAAGCGTGGAGGTTTCACCTGACAGGCATTACTTGTCTTCCAGGCAGCTGCCCTGAAACGCCACCAACACTGGAGAAAAGGCAAATTTCTTATGCTCTTAAAATTACCCAAGAAAGCTTGAAAGTCTTCAGCTGTTAAAACTTTGGTGCTCAAAATGGCTCTTGCAGAAGGTGCTGCCAAACTCCCCACCTTTGCACACCCTGAGGGTCTTGCACCCCCCGCCCCCCATCACACAGCCGGCAGCTATTTCTGCCTTAGCGCTGTGGCAAGGGCTTTAATTTAAGAAAAACATTTAGTTCTTTTTTTAAAGCATGAAAACTACCTCCAGATATGGCATAATGGGATCGAGTTACCTAAAAAAAGTCCGATTCCTCCTCCCGACTCCTTCAGAGTGGGGTGTTATTATCTCCAGTAATAAATGTTGGAGCAGGAGGAACAATATGCGATTTTCTTTTTTTTCCCCCGTTCCACATGAAATTTGTGGCAGAAGAAGTTTGGCTGCGTGGGTGCAGAGGGGTTTGCTTTCCCTTTTTTCCCAGCAATGGCTGGAATCTGGCTGGATGCTCGTTTTCATTACAAATTGCAGTGATGCTTGTTTGTGCCATCGCTGTTTGTTCCCTGTGTGCATTCAGCTCCTGACTGAACACAGGAGGAACTTTGCTTATATAGACATACAACCTTGTATAGGAATAACCACAACTGCCGTACCACAGATGTTTACTTCCAGCTGCCTTTGGTTTTGAGAGTACAGGGATGCTCCACGTGGCTTCTCGAATAAAATAATTACAAAAATACTGAAACAAAGCTTTGCAGCAGTTAAAGTTAACAAATTCTCTCCAAATGAAGCCTTGAAATACTCGACTCAGCCTCACAAATAGATGCCCACCCCTGTGACCTGTTTTTCGGGGGAGTGGGTTGTCACGATGGATGAATTGCCCAGCGCTGGGCAGGAGCAGAGGGAACATGCACAAAGGAGGGCACTGGCACGCAGGGGGCAAGAGCGTGCCCAAAGTGCAGCCCCGTGGGACGTCCCAGTGGGGAGCAGTGCCGCAGCAGCCGGCGGCGGGGCTGCGGGTCTGTGCTGGAGCAGCGGAGTCCTTGCCCTTAAAGATCTGGGTTCCCACACTGCCAGAGTCTGCCTGGGCATCAGCGAGAGGCGGGACCCGCTTTCGGGGTGACACTCTGCAATGACACTCTGCAATAAACCCTTTAGCGTGGTGGAAAACCGCTGTATAAATACAGCCGAATAAGGCGTTAGATCCTATCAGATTCTCAGTTGGCTGTCACTGATAAAGGAGCGATATTTTACACAGAAAAATTTATTTAGTGTGTGCCATAAAATAAATTATCAGCAAAGCAGAGAAGAGCAGGGTCACGGTTACAGCCCGTCCATATACTTCCAGCTGGGGGGTCCTTGGGGGGGGCAGGGGGGGAGGGAGCAGAAGCAAACCTCCCTGGGGGCTGTGGGACCGGGGGGGCAAGGCAGCTGCTTCCCAGCAGCCGCGTAGGAAGGACAGGAGCACCTTTGCCGTCTCTTTTGCACTGAGACTCTGATGCACCGCACCCTCCACCTGGGTCCCCCTGGCATTTGGATGTAACAAATGCATTTCGATATAACATTTCTCGCTGTCCTGCTTTCCAGGAGCTGCCAGCTTTGCCTGGCATCAGCATGAAAAAAAGCCAGTCAGTGGGTTTGGGAGCTTCAGCCTGTGTGAATAACGCAGCCAAAGGGGCAAGCTGGGCAGGTGCTGGGTGCAGGGAGCCAGGAAGCCCACCCACAACCCCCAGCCCACGCTCACCTCCTGCTGCCAGGCTCTTCCACACCCTGCCTGGCCAGTCTCTGGCCTGGGCTACCCCAATGCAAGGGGCAATTTTTTATTCCCAGCACCCCTGCTGTACGAGTGAAGTCTCCAAATGCAGAGGGATGATTTCATCCTCACCCTACTCCATGCCTCCTGCTCAACCTCATCCTCTTTGAGGCTGCTCCAAGGAAATGTCCGAGCCTACGAGAGCAGCAGCTCCGCTGTCAAGCCAGCTCCTGCCTGAGTGGAAAGCCAGGTTGTCCCGCTGGCACTGCCAGCAGCAGGAGTGGCCCGCGGGGCCGGCTGCCAGCTCACACCCTCTGCGCTGCCCTGTAGAGCTCTCCTCTGGGCTGTGGGGCTGATGGCACGTTGACGTAGATCTCCTGCTGCTCCAGCAGGGAATCCTGCATGCTGGTGTATGCAGCCTCTTTTTCTTTTTCCAAACGCTGAGAAAAGAGGGGGATAAACAAAAACCATCCTTTGCGGGGTTGCTCCGGGGCAACACCATCTGCTGGAACATCTCTTGGCTGCTTTAAGCACCCAGGAGCAGCTGTGGGGACCGGAGAGGGCACCCACATTATCCAGGGTCATGTGCACCCCAGCTTGGCATGTCCCTTTGCATCCCTCTCCCTACCCATCCAACCCACCCTGCTGCCCACGCTGTCACCCACCCGCCCCGGCTTTCCACCTACCGCCTCCAGCTCGGCACTGCTTTGCATTCTCCTACCTTATTGCTCTGCTTGACCTCCGCATATTCGGTTGTGTTGTTTGCCAAGCCGCGGAAAGCGTTGGCATTGCTGTACAACTGGCTCTCGGCTGTGTCCGTGCGGTGGTTAATGTCCACGTAGGTCAAGGCATCCGCTCCCTGACATGCGAAGGAGTGGGATGAGCTCTTAACTTACTGCTGCTCCCCTGCCTGCAGCCCGCAGGGGTGGGAACATCTCCCATCCTGCTGCCTTCTCTGATGAGAGCTGAGACGGCTGCAGGAGCACTGGGGGAAAATTTAACCTGCAGCAAGAGCTGGCTCAGCATTCCCCAGGGGAAATCTGGTTAATGACACTGGCCCCTCCTCGAAAGCTGGCAGAAAAGTTTAGACAATACTTCCCAAGCAGTGACCGAAGATCAGCTGTGGGGACCGGAGAGGGCACCCACATTATCCAGGGTCATGTGCACCCCAGCTTGGCATGTCCCTTTGCAGCCCTCTCCCTACCCATCCAACCCACCCTGCTGCCCACGCTGTCACCCACCCGCCCCGGCTTTCCACGTACCGCTGCTCCCCTCAGGTGTGCTTTGCTGCGGGTTCCCAAGGCTCTTTCACCCAGAGAAGCAGCTCCCATGCTTGGAGGGGCTCAGGGAGAAACCTCTCAGCTCAATCCTAAATTCCCTTCCCAGGAATACTCTGCGATAGTCACACAAAATCCCTGGTTGGGATCTTTCTGTTGGCAAACAGAGCTTAAAGAATCCCTCCCAGCCTAAAGGGCTGTGAACCTGGCTGAAAGTAAATGGATCTGGCAGCTTGTTTGCTCAGCTCGGGATATAACGTTTCCCCTCCCCAGGCGAGCTTGGAGCACACCATTAAAAGACCTCGTGCAGTTTGCCTTACTGTATGCACCATGCTGCGAGTCCTCTCCATCTCTACAGCTTCTCCGGAGAGGGCTGGATGAAGCACAGATGTGGTTAGACATGAGTGAAACCAGAGGACAAAAAAAGTATTGAAAACTGCACTGCCACTGTGAATCTCGTTGTAAAGCAGGAAGGGAACCTGTTGTCCCATCAACCGTGTAAACCAGAGCAGTTCTTCAAATAAAACCAGACCCCACCTGCCAGCTGGTGTCCCTCCCTGTCCTTCACACTGGCCTTAAACTTCGCACCAAGCCTAGTAGTGCAGGCCTGGCCTATGCAACTGAGCACGTCTGAAGAAGCTGACGGTGCCCAGCCAAACTCAAGCGGGTGCCGTGCTGGGCAGCACCCATCCTGAGAGCCGCCATTCCCCGCTCCCGCGGGTATCAGACTGCGGGACAGTCCCACTGCTCCCTCGGGGGAAGGAGAACTCCTTGGTGGAGGTCTCGGTGATGGACCCAGGAACTGGATGGATCACGGAGGGAATGAGAGAGACAAAAGAAATATAGAGGAAAAAATATAGCAGAAGACAGGCTCTGGTGCGAAACTGTGTGTGTGTGACAGAAGCAGCTTTGCTTACCCTTCTTCTTCTTCTTCCTGGACAGCATTACCAGAACACCACCAGCAACCACAAGCAAAAGAAGAACCACTACAATGGCTGGAGTGAGGATGTGCTGAACCAGGTCCAAGCTGCAAGAAAAAAATGTTCCTGTTCTCACGCTTCTCCTCAGAAGCCGACTCAGGAGGAACCAGCATGGAGCAGGCATGCAGGTAGCGGCTGTGGGTGACAGGGCTTGCCTTGGGAGGAGGGGAAGCAGGCGTGGGGGTGGCCAGGCTGCAAGCTGGGCACGGAGCAAAGCAAACTGAAAACAGCAAAAGCAAACGGACACTCGGGTCTGAGAGCTGCTGCGTCTTCACTATTTTAAGGATCAGTTCCTGCACCTGATTTTGCTCTGGTTCAGCTCCACTATTTGTTGACCTTGTAATGGGCAACAAGGCAAGGCTGGCATGCCAGCCACCCCTTGAGCATGCTGATGGGAAGCCTTGGCTTTGCCCACTTCCTGCATCACCTCCAAGAGGGAGGGGAGGAGGGAGGAAGCTCTGCCACTCCGTTCTCAGGCTTTGTCAGCTATCTCTGCGGGGCTGTAACTACAAAGCAGAACAGGACCCAGCTCATCACTTGGTTTCCCACAAGCAAACGGTCCCTCTGAGTTTTGGGGAAGGAAATGGTGTCAGTGCTGCAGCCAGAAATCTCTTCTCACATGGTGATACCCTGCGCCTTGCTTAAGCTGCAAGATGGACAGGGGACAAGCAGGGCTCTGCTGGGACCAAGTGACCAGGGGCACTGGGATTATTTTCCAAGCAGAGTGGCTGGCTGAGAGGATGAAACGCTGGTCTCTAAAGGCAAAAGCAGGAGGTCTGAAACCTTAAGGGAGATGTGAAGAGCCCAGAGGGTTGCAGGGCTCCAGCTGCATCAAAGAGACGTCATGGAGGGAGGTGGCCTCTGTGAGCAGGAGCTGGTACTCACTGTGGAAGGCTGGAACCTTCGTCGTGGGAGAGTTTTGATCCCGGTCGCGCAGCTTCCTCCTGGGGAGTTGTCTGTGTGGGGACTGATACAGAGCTAGTGAGAATGGGGTGCTCAGTGGTCTGGGTGCAGGGCAATGCTGGGGAGGAGGAAGGAGGACCTGTAACAAAAAGAGGAGAGGGTGAGTCAGTCTCCCTGCCTCCATGGGGGCAAATGCTGTGGGTTTTGCAGCGAGTCAGAAGTGACCCACTTACTGTCACACCAGGAGAAGCTGGGTCCCCTCTGTCACATCCAGAGCACACTCCTCAAGGTGGGAGGGCTGTAATCCCCCGCCCAGGAGGCTTTTTGCAGTCCCAGTCCTCCCCCAAAATGCACACACGCACGCAGCAGAGTTCACCCTGCAGGAAGGGGGTGTGGGCACCCCATGCCCAGCCCGGCACCAACACAACAGCCCCATGTAAGTGTCCCACTGCAGGGGCTGGTCCCTGACGAGGGGATGGAGAGGGACATTCCCTAAGCCCAGGGCTTGGTGCCCACAGGCACTGGCTGCCCCACAGCAGGAAATGGGGCAACATAGTGGGGCGAGGAACTCCCTGGTGTTGTAAAATAAAGCAAGAAAAGCAAAGACAGGGTAGGATCTGATGAGAGGGGAAAATGGGACATGGAGAGCAGGGTGGTGCACCCCAGCGATAGGGGTGGCTGACCCCGGGGCACCAAGAAGGGGCCGTGGTGAGACCTGGGCACGGGGAATGCGTGAAGGCAGCACCTGCTATGGCAGCAGACTGCGGAGCGCTGGGGACACATCCCGGGGCTGCCCCACGGGGCCTGGGCACCCACCTCCTCCAGACTGCCCCTCCCTGCAGCCCCTGCTCCCAGCACTTGGAGGGGGACACAACAACGGTGGACCTGGGGGACCCGCAAGTACTGACCTGGGAACACCATCACCTCCACACGGTGACTCTCATCACGATGGAGGAAGGGCGTTCGCACACCGCAGAGGTAGGTGCCCGCATCCCCCTTGGCCAGGCCCTTCATGGTGACCGTGAACACCCGCTGTGTGCGATTGTCCCAGATGGACAATCGGTCCTGCCGCACCACGGGCCGCTGCTCCGAGGTGATGACGATGTCATCATCACAGGTAAAAAAAAGTGTTGCTGGTTTGCACCAGAATTTCGGGTTCATCTCGTGGCCGGCCTCGTACCTGCAGCGCACCGAGAGGGACCCCCCAAGGAATCCCCGCACAGTGTGGGGTCCCGTCACCGCCCAGCAGCCTGCGGAGCAACACGGAGATGCGGCAGTG